CGAAATGCTTTTTTCCAGAGATTGAGTAGTCCGAATTTGTTTTACTGGTTTCAGTCTCTTGTAGTCTTTTTCATGTTTCTTATTTTTCATCCTATGATGAGGCTGCAGCAATTTTTTTCCTCGGTTGAAGTTATCTGCAGAAGTCAAATTAGGCAGTGGAAATGTGTAGCGCTCTTTTACCGACTGATTAATAAATTTGTTGGTTCATAGCTTACAAAAATAACTTATATATTTCATTGGATTTTGCGGAAACAAAAATCTCATTCTCATTTGTATTACTTTTTCACCTATGTAAATATACACTCGCTTTATTGACACATTCAATGTCACAGAATCATTTATACTTTTCGCAAGCGCCATAGAATGAATGAATAGGGATCAAAAATAAGTATGACTTGAAATTGGTTGAGTGAAAAAAGTCTTTCAAAGTAAAACATTGTCAATTTATTATAAAGTAGATATATCACTGTGCAGTTCTTTCAGCAGCTACATCATAATTCGATTTTTTTCAGGTAGATTTCGGAGCGAATTTCATTATAACGCAAGCTTCCTACTCCTACGAAGCGTTCGAGAAATTTGCAAAACTATGTAGGAACATTGGTATCAGTGTTCCAGTCATACCAGGAATTTTCATAATCAATTCCTTTAAGGCCTTAACGGCTATGTCGAATTTTTGCGGAGTATTCGTCCCTGGCGATATTCTGGATATCGTGAAGAAAAATGAAAATAACAAAGATGCAGTTGAGAACTTTGGCGTTTATCATGCTGCAGAGATTATCAAAAAGATTCTACAAAATAGAGACTTATATGGATTTCATGTATTTTCTCTGAATGATTTTCAACTATTGAAAAAAGTACTGAAATGTTTGGGACTCTATAGAAGCCACATAGAAAGACCTTTTTATTTATGTGAATCTTCAAACACCATTTCAGAACATTATTGAAAAATCATCGTAGCCCAGTCATGCTGGCAAGTTACCTACTGTATGCTATTGGAACAATTATATATGTATTTCACTGTTCAATTCTTGTGAAAATAGAAACCTAATACACCTTTGAGAAATGAATTGTGAACTTTGCCATCATTTCTGTCCTCATTTTGCAGTGTTTCCGATCTGATAGAAATTATCTTACAATACCCAAAGCCAATATCTGATTGTGTTTTTGATCGGGGAAAATCTCTTTGGGAATCTAGAACTGGCCAAACAATGAAAATTGAAGACATGAAAAACCAGAGGGCATGGGATAAACCATTACTAGATCAAGCAACTAGTATTTTACTGAAGACAGCTTCTGACACTTCAAAAAATAAGGCTCGTCTTCTCGCAGTAACTGTGAAAGAATCTGGTGCTTGGTTAAATGCTGTTCCT